TTAAGAGTATCCATTCAACATAGAGGCCATGGCTAAGATCTTCCATAGCATGCTAAAGATACCAGAATTCAAGCTGCCTGAAGCAAAGAGACCAGGGGAAGTTGATATGCAAGCTCAGCCCAACTATTGTGCTTAACATAGGTTGTTGGGGCACAAGATTGAAGATTTCCTTGTCATCAAGGACTCTTTGGAGTGAAACTTCAAGGCAGGGAACATAGCCATTCTGAAGGAGCACTTGAAAGAGCCTGAAAAAGGTTTGATCAATGTGAGCTTGATCAGTGAATTTGTTCTTGTCTACCCCTACAAAGGATAAATATGGATGGGATGTGTCATGGACCAGATCTTTCGAGAAGGTCCTTAACAAGATGAAAGTTGCTATGGCTTCAGTGTCGACTTTGAAGCCACCACTTCCAAGAAAAAGAAAGAAAATAAAATAAAATATTGACTATTATTCCCATTGTACCTCCTATTCCTTCTATTCGTACTCATTGTCCAAGTTTGGTCTCCGATTCGGGGGAGAAACCCCTTGATTCATTGACTTTGTATGGATTTTTCTTGGTCTCTCCAGGGACAATTAATGCAAGTACTTTTGATTTCAGTTACGCTTTGGCTATTTTTAATGATGACGCTTTCGAAAAAACCCAATCCAATTTTGGTCCCATTGACAATTCTCAAATCGTACACGATCTCATTGGGTCCGACAAAAATAAAAATGACAATAATAATGACAATAATAACAATGACATTGAAGATGACGTTGTTATTCTTGAGTTGCAAGGAGCATCAATTTCCATACAATTGGAATCATCATACTCAGAGAAAAAAGAGCAGGATGAAATGCTCCCAGGAAAAACTCTATGTTCGGCACAAGAACAAGAAGAAATAACTAAAGTGAGTTTGCGGAGCGGAAAAGTTCTACCTCCAAGAACAACTCCCAAAGAAAAGAAAAACAAGTGGTCATACCAGAAGAAGTAATTCCACGGGTACAATAAAGTCCAATTCAAGAAAATGCTGATAACTCTCACAACAGTGTACTACAACATCCTAGCCCATTTAAGGAAACTACCAGCAAAATTGAGCATTTATGATATCTTGATCCTCTCCAAGTAAATGAGGGAGGCATTAGTGAAAGCTCACTTAAAATCTGAGATTTGCTTGACAGTGCTTGCTATAACTTCCCCAGATGAGGATAATTCATTGGAAGGACTGACCAAGGTCACATTCTCCATTGATGACTTATTGTTGGGCACAACTAAACAAAACTGCCCACTATACATCGCAGTGAATCTTGACAATGCTACGCTCTCAAGGGTGCTTATTGACCCCGACACTTCAATAAACTTTATGAATTTAAGAATATTTGCTTATTTGGACATTGATGTCTATAGGCTAATGATAGATAAGATGAGGTTATGTGGCTTCAATCAATAAGGAGAATGAGTCGTAAAGTCAATCACATTGCTTACGAAGACCGGTGATTTGGTGACAACGACCAAATTTCATGTCAAATATTTTGAGAAATACTTTAATTTGTTGCTTGGCCGATCATGGCTCCATGAACACAAGATGGTTCCCTTGTTACTACATCAGTGCATCAAATGTATGCACGAGGGACAAGAATGCTACATAAGGTGATTTGCAACTGTTCTCGGTACACGAGATCGGCATACATAAAGAAGATGCATAATATGGCTTAATGAAGAAGATAGTTTTCTCCAGGGACATGATGATAAATGCAAAAGAAAAGGATAAAAATGGGAAAATGAAATAAGAAGGCAAAGAAGAGGAAAATAAAATTGAGGAACACCATCATGTCATGCAACCGAAGAGTAAAGACTCCCACAAAACTCACATCTGAAGTTGAGGCTGGGGATGAGGACAAGGGAGAGAAGACTCAACTGTTGAAATAAGAAAACCCTTAAAGATCAATATCGGCTTGGACTACGATTCCAAGGAAGATAAAGAGAAAAATAAAATGATGGTGATGACTCAAAAGGAGCCACAATTCAAAATATCACTCAAAGAAGAAAAGAAAAGAAAGAATATTAGTCAATGTATGAAAGGATCAATCACTATGTACAAGCTATGACCCTAACTCCTATTTCCTCAAATAAAATCAAGAATCTGGTGATTAAAGTAGTAGATAGTGATGGTACCAAACCGATCAAGTTCTAACTAGGTTCTTCTTTTTCTAGTTCTGAAACAAATGTAAAACTAGAAAGAGAAATTATCTTGAAATTAATGGAGCTTCCTGTTGAATGTCATTCTCCTTATGTTCAGAAATTTGTTTAACGTTCTTTGATACCAAAATAGTTACCATACCAATCTCACCTCTTTGAACAACTATGGAACAATCAACAATGAAATCCCAAATCAAAAGAAAGTGTTGGATTTAGTACAATAAAACCCCTGAATGAGACAAAATTTTGACTTGTTGTCGCCGAAGAACCGGATATTGAATGTACAAAAGCACATGATAAATCTAAAGAGTCTTCGATTGAAGACGCAACACCAAATTCAATGAAGAAATTAAATCAATAGTAGATGAGCTAAGAGAAGTCAACTTGGGAACTAAAGCAAATGAAATAATCCAACTCCTAAAAGACCAACATTCATTATTATTCTACTTGTGGATCACAAGTCTCTTAACAATTTCTAAAAAAGTAAGCATAAAATTATATAAGTAACAAAGCGTAACACTTGAGAAATTGGTGAATATTCCATAACCTTAGAAACATGTGGTCAAGATTCGCAAAAATAACAGACCAACAATCAGGAATTTTTTTTAGTACCATCTCCTACAGTTGATTAGCTTACACGAGGAACAATAACTTTTGCAATAAGTACAGTATAGGCATAAGTTGAAGCATGGTGTTAAACATGATTTACCAATAATTTTGTAAGAACTTATGTTGCATAAATCAAGTACATTATATTCTATGTCAACTCATTTTTTGAAGTATCTGCATGAGTTGAAAATATTTGGCAAATAAGATCATTCTACTAAGTTGCAATACCGAATCATTAAACATCATTAAACAGGGCATGGCCAGCTTCAGCGTCATTGCAAAATCACTACTTTCATGAAGCTAAGGAGTGAGTGTGTCGTGGAGGTAGTGATTCCAAAGTGAGTGTGTTATGGAGGCAGTGACTCGGGATTGAGTGTGTTGAGGAGGCAGAGACTTAGGGGTGAGTGTGTTGAGGAGACAGTCATTTGAGACTGAGTGTGCTGAGGAGGCAGTGACTCTAGAAAGACACGTGAGTCTCGGAAGTCACTGTGCAAGAACAGTGACTCAAATGCAAATTAGAAACACATGAAATGCAAACATGCAATATGTTATTCAAGCAAACATGTAAAGGTGCACAAGTGCAATTACGAACACGTGGGGGCTTGGCACACGACGACATATGAGAATGTCGATATGACGAACACAAAGAATTGTGCCCAAGTGGAAAAGAGATACCCACCATAAGTAAATGTGGGAATAAGCTTACAGGTGCACTGAGGGGTGCAGGCGTGAATGTGTTCATGGAAGCAGTATGAGATGGTCATGCAATCATAGAACATTCAAGTGGATTTGATCGATACAATCGGACAAGTGGAGGTCGATTGATTGAACCAACCAAAAAGGTCGATCGAGTTGATCGGGCTGGTGGCGACCGATCGGTCTAGTCAACGAAAGCGGCCGATCAGACTAATGTGGGCGGTCAATCCACGAAAAGGGTCGATCGAACAAATCAGACCAGTGGCAATTGATCGGGCGAATCGACAAAAGATGTCGATCAGGTCGGTGGTAGCCGATCGATCGAGTCGGCGGAAGGGTCATAAAAACCAATCAGACTGGTGGTGATCGATCAGCCAAACTAACAAAAATGATAGATCTAGTCGATCGGGTCGATGTCAGTCGATCGATCGAGTCGAAGATGATAGTGATCAAGCCAGACGGGATGTGCGACCTATCAACGATGCATGCAAAAAATGATATTATTATGCAATTTTGAAAACTCATGCAAGGCAAGTCAAATGAATGCAAAGACATGCATAAAGTGAGACCCAATCAAGCTCGACGATGAATTGGAGTCAACCTAGCTACCTCACAGGGCCCTAAGGTAGGAAGGAAATGATTTGTACCAACCACTCGTCACGCGAGGCGACTGGCGGCCCACCTCCGTTTGCTCGGCACGAAAGATTTTCGTAAGAGAAAACTTTTGCATTCTAGGAGAAAACTTTAGCATTTTAGAAAACTTTCGTGTTCTAGGGAACTATATATTAAAATTCAATTATTCTTTTGATTGTTTATATCAATTAGCTCCTAGAAGGATTTTAACGTTTGTTCAGGTAAACTCTGAGCTGGGGTTCTTTTATGTCTGTTTATTTTGTTGATTATGTGGAGATTATTTTTTTCTTTGCTTTTTTGGCTTTATTTGTATTAGGTTTCGCTGATTTCTTGTTTTGTTATTTATTTTACATACTATTCGCCGTTTCTTTATTGGAGACATTGATTTGATGTTTTCTGAGGTGGACTGACTTTTTGGATTGTCTTTTGCTCAACTTATAAAGTGATAGTTTTTCAAGCTCAAGGTTCACTTTTACTCAGGGATTATTGGTGTTTCTCTTTTGTTTTTTTTGACATTATAACTTTTAGATAACAATTTAGCTTTTTGTTTTTTTCAGTTGGTGTTGTGTTGTAAGAGAGTTAATATAAATATATATATATATATATATATAGTGTCTATTGATATAAACAGTTTATTCTGAAACCCGACATGTAAGTTCGACCCGTGACCTGCGTTCAGTATAAAAACTCAGCCGTATTTTCGAATAAGCTGCCGAAATATGCTTTTTAAGCAAAATATGCTTTTTAAACGATGAAGCGCTGTTATAACGTTCGCATTTATAAGTTGCCCAAGCGGGCCCCAAGGGGCGAAATATGCTTTTTAAGCGGTGTTGTAACGTCCGCATTTATAAGTTGCCCAAGCGGGCCCCAAGGGGCCCTTAATAGAATTGGGCGTGTTAATGTGGAGCGTTCGTCCACAATCGATCCGGCATCTTCACAATCGTTAATGACCGTTGCCTTCCGCCGTTTACCCTTCCCCTTCTAGTGTGCTACAAGTGCCACATGCTCTTCCTTACAAAACTTCCACGAATCCAACGGTAACTTCCAGTTTATGAAATTGAATGCCTTTATTCAGCAATGCATTTGAGGATCACATAGCTTCTCTTATCCAAAAATGCCCGGGCATGAAAACCCTACGCCAAATCCACGGGCGTTTACTCCGGAACCATATTCTTTCATCTTCCCCTTTTACTTTTACGCTATCCAAAATCATTAGTTTCTGCGCCCTCTCGCCAAATGGTGACATTCACTATGCCCAACGCGTGTTCGATGATATTCTCCAACCAAATGTCTTCTCTTGGAACTCCATGATAAGGGGTTTCTCCCAGGTTCAAAACCAATCCAGTGAGCCCATTGCATTGTACAGGAAGATGCTGTCTTCTGGCTTTGCTAATCCAAATAGTTTCACCCTTGCTTTCGTCCTGAAAGCCTGCTCAAACATCTCAGCCTTGAGCGAAGGACGACAGGTCCATTCCCATGCGTACAAATATGGTCTTGATTCAAGTCCTTTTGTTCAGACTGGGTTGCTGAATTTTTATGCCAAGTGTGAGGAGCTTGCTTCTGCAAGGTTTGTTTTTTGTGATATTTCTGATAAGAATTTGATAGCATGGAGTGCGATGATTAGCGGGTATGCAAGGATCGGGATGGTGAATGAAGCGTTGGGATTGTTTAGGGAGATGCAGGAGGCGGGTCTCTCTCCCGATGAGGTCACAATGGTGAGCGTCATCTCAGCTTGTGCAAAGGCTGGAGCATTGGATTTAGGGAGATGGGTTCATTCATTTGTTGATAGGAAGGGGATTAGAGCTGATTTAGTATTGAGTACTGCGCTGATTGATATGTATGCCAAGTGTGGTTTGATTGAGAAGGCAAAGAAGGTGTTTGATGATATGGTAGAGAGGGATACAATGGCTTGGAGCACAATGATTGTTGGCTTTGCAACTCATGGGCTTGTTGATGATGCTTTGAAGCTTTTCTCAAGGATGTTAGATTCAAAGGTACTTGCTTGCACAACTTGAATTAGGTTTTTTTGCAACTTAAAGCAAATTTAATCATAAACTCACACAACAACGCATATGCTAGGTCTCGAATCCAAAACCTTTTGGTTGCGAGCATAAGCTTCCAACCAATAGTCTAAGGTGGGCTACATATATGACTTGAATATGGTTTTATATATCAGCATACATAACAAATAATTTTCTTATATCACTTTTCGTTAAACTATAACGGATGAATATAATATATGTTGTTAACTCAACTTTTTTTGCATCACTTTTTTCCCCACCCTCAACACTTCTCTTTCTCCTCTAATGTTTTCCTAGAATATATGTCACCCTATTTATAGAATTCAACTATTAATTTATATACGCCTATTTATAATGACTTAAAGATTTTGAACAGAGAGTGACCATATTTTCTATTTCTTTGACATCTAATATAATTTTTTTTTTTATTACAACACAACCAAAAGCATTAAGATGAATTAACAACTATAATTATTTTCTATCTTAATAGAATATTTGGATGCTAAATATATAATGCACTATAAAAGAAAAGTTAACTATAGATTTCCTCTAATATATGACAGGATGTGTCTAGTCATGATCCGGTTAGTTGTGGTCGAGTTATTTGAGTTCACATTGTGGGTCAATGTATTAGTAAGAGTATTTTTCGTTCATTTATTTGTATTAGATTTAGGGTTTGAGTTTTACTATAAATAGGTGGTCTTGTGTTATATTAGGGGACTTTTGGAATGAGGTAGAAATATGTGAGAGCTTTGAGCTCCGTAGGTTCTTAGATAAGAATGTGTCTGCATCCACGGCGTTGGTTGGTGACACTGTATCCCTTCGTAGTTGGTGATGATATATTGGTTTCTCTTCCTTCGTCTATCATTCGGTTGGTGATTTATGTTTCTCGATCAATTACGATAATAGAAGACTCTTTTATCTTGTATCTTTATTTGATTAGCGTATCTACTTTATATTATCCTCTTTATTTTCTTTAGTTTCCATCTTTTTTTGTTTATGATTTCTATTATGTGTTTTCTCTCGATTTTCTTGTTGATCTTCATGCTTTCTTTATTATTTTCATACTGATTTCTGCACCCGGCCCATTTCCGGTATCATTCAGGCTTTTTGGTTGTGAGGTAGAAATCTGAGAGCTTTGGGATCCATAGGTTCCTATATGGGAATGTGTCTGCATCCACGGTTCTGCGTGGTGGCAACTGTATTTCTTCGTATTTGGTGATGACATACTAGGTCTCCTTCCTTTGCCAATACTATGAGTGGTAATTTATGTATTCCGATCGATTACAAGACCATGAAACTCTTGTACCCTGTATCTTTATTTGATTAGTGTATCTTCTTTTTATTATCTTCTTTATTTTTTCTGATTTCCAATTTATATTTTTCTGATTTATGTGCTTTGCATTTTCTGTCTATTTTCTTGTTAATATCCCTATTTTCTTTATTATTTTCTTGTTGAATTCTGAACCTATTCCCATTGTCGGTATCAATATTCTTCCTCAATGGTATCAATATTCTTCCTCAATGTGGTTTTCTTAGGCCCATTGTCGGTATCAATATTCTTCCTCAATGTGGTTTTCTTAGGGAGGGCATCAATATGGACATGTAATCTATTGATATGCTGACAAGTGAGTGGTGTTGTGATTGTTGGCGAGTTGATCATCTTTTGAGACATGAGATAGTTGGATGTCAAAATTTTTTACTTTTACACGAATAAAATGAATGTCAATGTCAATATGTTTCATTTAGGATTGGAAGACCATATTTGCACAAAAGCTCCAATATTGTCATGATAGATTGTTGGTAAAGTAAGTAGTTGAATATTGTGTTCTTGAAGTAGTGATTGTTGTTTGAATGGAAAAAAAACTTTAGGCTTCGATCAATTAGAAATTTGAATCACACTTTGGATAAGGATTACACCATTTTGAGAAATTTGGAATAAAATTTCAAACAGAAGTACACCGAAACAATTTCAGAAAAGCACACCAAGATTTAGGTAAAAAAACCCGAGAACGGGAAAAATCACTAATCCGCACTACTAAAAATTTTCAATATTAAGAACCAAAATTATATCAATATACAAAAACTTACAGACTTCACTCCAAATATTCCTTTATATCTCGCAAGAGAAAACCCTTCCTTCGAAATTCTCTTTGACCCTCTTCCACTTCACAAAAGCCTTGTCTAGAAAAACCACATGCGAGTTAGTTTTCGTCACTCAAATCAAAGACATCAGAACAGAATATTAGTAGGAACTGTCTCGGCGGTGTAGTCACGCCGAGAAGAGGTGTAATTATCTCAATAGCTTGTTACAAAGCCTGAAATGGATCGAACTCGGTACGTAGTTACGCTGCCGTTGCAGCATAGTCACGTCGCCTGGCATAGCTATACCTGTTTCAGGCGTGGCTACGCCATACTCAAGCTCAGGAGCGCCTCTTTGAGCGACGTAGGAATTCTGCTCCTTCGGGTACTACAGGCTCCATACTCTAACATCTCTTACTTGGAGATTGATAGCACCTGATGCATACCCACCATATTTGCATCTCTATTTTTACTATCTTCATAGTCTTGTACCGTAGTGTGGCTTACCCACTGCCTCATCTTTTCTGGACTCTAACTAAAGCCAAACATAACACTAGTTTCTCAATGGTCATCACCTTAGTCAACATGTCCGTGGGATACTGAGTTGTATGTATCTTCTCCAAAAGTAACTGCTCATCTACTGGGAGAGAATCAATAAAGTAATACCTCTATTAGCTATGCTTTATCTTAGCATGAAAAATAGCATTCTTAGCATAATGAATTGCACTCATACTAGAAAGCTCTGTATCCAAATCATCTCCTTGCTGGTCTCAGTAATAGCAATGTATTTGGCCTCCGTAGTTGAAAGTGAAACAATCTTCTATAGCCTGGAAGCCCAACTCACCGATGAGTTCCCCAAAATGAAGATATACCTTGTTGTAATCTTTTTATCATCCAAATCTCCTACCAAATATAAATCTACAAATCCTTGTAGACTAATCTTTGCATTTCCATAACGAAGTGTCATATTGATTGCTCCCCTTAAATACCTTCTAATCTACTTCACTGCCTCTAATTGATGTGTGCTTGGATTGCCCTTGTACCTACTGCCCGCTCTCGCTGCATATGCAATATCTAATTTGATATAAATCATATCATACATTATACTTTCAATTGTTGAAGCATATGAAGTTCTTTCCATTTGTATTTGCTCTGCTTCAGACTTATGCGATAATTCTTTAGATAGCTTGAACTACCTAGGGAGTGCCAATTGGGTTTGCTCAGTAATGTTGAATCTCTATAAGATCTTCTCAACATACTCTGTCTGAGGCAACTTTAGTGTATCTGCTCTCATGTTCTTATTGATTCTCGTCCTAAAGTTCTTTCTGATTAGATCTAAATCCTTCATTTCAAACTCACTTGATAATTGCTCCTCTAAATTCCTAATTGTTTCTATATATGCTCTTGTAATTAGCATGCCATCCACATATAAAAAGAGGAAGATAAAATAATTATCAAAATTTTTGATGAAGCACAATAATGGCCTAATGGCATTTCATTTACCCACTATCTGATAAGAACCTGTCAAACCTCATCTACCACTATCTCGGGGCTTGTTTCAAATTATAGAGTCTTTTTTCAACCAACTGACCAAATCTTCTTTCCCTTCTTATAACCCGACATTTGCACCATATATAGCTCCTCTCTAGATCTTCAAGTAATACTGTTGTCTTTACATATATTTACTCAAATGTAGATTTTTTTCTGCTATCAAACTCACCATAATTCTGACAGTTGTCATCTTTACTAAAAAAGAAAAAATTTTAGTGTAGTTCACTCCTTTCTATTGACACCCCTTCACAGTAAGTCTTGTTCTGTAGTGTCTACTACCACCTAACGCTTATTTCAACATGTAGATCCAATGGTTGTGTAGTGCTCTTTTTTCATCTCGTAATGTTGTTTAATCTCAGGTTTGATTCGACTTCAAGAACTACATTTCATCATCCATGGCAAAACTCCTTTAAATCTTTAACTTGAATGGCCTCCTCATAGAATTTTGATTCACCACTATTTGTGAGCAACAAATGGTACCGAGAACAAGAATACGTCTATGTCGGTCAAGTACTGCTAAACCTTCTGACTTTAGTAGCAGGTGACTAAGGAACTTCTTATGTTTCTTCTGATTGAACACTTTTTTCTCCTTTTCTCTGATCAATACTATCTTCTTTCTCAACATGCTTAGACTCCTAAGAAGTGACTGATGGGCAATCCTAAGTTTTTATCATGTCCATGTATTTCTCTATTTCATTGAAAGTAACATCTCTACTCTTAATGAACTTATAATTATGATAGTCTTAAAATTTGTACCCAAATTTTTCTTTGTCATATCCAATAAAATTGCACTTGACAAATTTCAAGTTAAACTTACTTTTGGACCCTGCATCAACATGTACATATGTAGAACAACCAAATACCTTCAAGTGATATAGATTTATCTCTTTGCCAATTCGGGCTTCTTTAGATAAGTCTTCCTTCAAATGTACTAACGAACAATGGTTGGTAGGATACACTGCGGTGTTCATTGTTTTTCCCCAGAGCTGCCTTGGAAAGTCTGCATGCAACCTCATACTTATGGCATTCTCTATGATTGTTTTGTCCATATGCTCAACTACTCCATTTTACTATAGAATTCTTTGAACAATGAACTCATGCCTGATCACCTCTGAAGCATAGTAATTCTTAAACCTCTGATCACGATACTCTCCTCCATCATCTGATTTGAGATACTTTAGCTTCAATTCTGACTCATTTTCTACCATACTCTTCTACTTCTTAAACACTTCAAATTCACAAAATTTTTATTGTAAGTAATCTTATATCTACTCGTTGTGATTGCCAATAAATGTGACAAAGTAATGGAAACCTTCAATGGACTGAACTGGAATAGTACT